GGTTTGATGTTAAACCGATTCATTGGATTAGTCTCGATCAAGCTAATTCTGGAGTGAGTCGTCTTAGGATCTAGGAGTGACCATCGTAGATTCTAGGTCTGATCTAAGAGTGATTCATCTTCTAACCTTACTCTTGGTTGGAATTATTCGGTAAGTTAGTCGTTTTTGTGAATGTTTGCAAGGACCCTAGAAGGACCTCTAGCTTTGTAAACCCGAGCAACCTTGGCGCTTATCACTCATCACTAATCAAGCATCTAGATGTACCATATCTAATAAAAATTAACTTTTGCAAGATGAGAGAAACTACCTTGGCATCGTTAGTAGGGGTGGCCAAAGCCTCAACCCATTTCGAGATATAATCAACAACCAAGAGAATGTAATTCTTACTGAATGAAGGTGGGAACGGACCCATGAAGTTGATGCCCCAAACATCGAAAAGTTCAACTTCCAATATTGGGTTTAAAGGCATCTCATGCTTCCTTGTCAAGTTACCTGATCTTTGATAGCGATCACATCCTTGATTGAATATATGAGCATCTCGAAATAGAGACGGCCAAAAGAAACGACTTTGGAGGACTTTTGCTGCAGTCTTACGTCCAGCAAAATGCCCACCATATGGTGATTTGTGGCATGCCTCTAGAATCTCCTTCTATTCATGCTCAGCAATACACCTACGAAGAATATTGTCAGGTCCTAGTTTAAACAAGAAAGGTTCATCACATTTATAAAACCTAACATCATGAATGAACTTTTTTATCTGGTGCTTACTCAAATCATTAGGAATTATTTTGCTCACCAGATAGTTCGCATAGTCAGCATACCAAGGGACTTCAGAAATAGCTAAAAGATATTCATCCACAAAATGCTCTTTAATCTCACAACTATCATGCTGCAAAGAAGACTGTAGCCTAGATAGATGATCCGCTACTTGGTTTTCTGTTCCTTTTCTATCTTTTATCTCTAAGTCAAACTCTTGTAGCAACAAGATCCATCTAATCAACCTAGGCTTAGCTTCTTTTTTAGAAAACAAGTATCTAAGTGCAGAATGATCGGTAAACATTATCACTTTAGTCTCAATCAAATATGAAGGAAACTTATCAAATGCAAAAACAATAGCCAAAAGTTCTTTCTCGGTCACAGTATAGTTCAACTGACTACTATTTAAAGTTTTACTTACATAATAAACAGGCTGAAGAACTTTACCTTTTCGTTGACCCAACATCACACCTACAGCAAAATCACTTGCATCACACATTAGTTCAAATGGCAAGTTCCAATCTAGTTCAATTATGATAGGTGCTGAGCTAAGTGCATTCTTAAGTGTCTCAAAAGCTTTCAAACAATGTTCATAAAAAACAAAGGGTCGATCCACTTCCAACAACTGACACAAGGGCTTAGAAATTTTTGCAAAATCTTTTATAAAATGGCTCTAGAAACCCACGTGTCCTAAGAAACTTCTAACACCTTTTATAGTTGTAGGACGGGGTAGTTTAACAATCACATCTATTTTAGCCCTATCGACCTCAATTTCTTTTTCTCAAATTCTGTGACCTAAGACTATACCTTCACATACCATAAAATGACACTTCTCCTAATTAAGCACAAGGTTAGTCTCTTCTCACATTTTTAAAACATTCTTTATGTTCTCTAAACAAACATCAAACGACTCACCAAAGACAGAAAAATCATCCATGAAAATCTCTACTGTTGATAAGCGCCAAGGTTGCTCAGCTTTACAAAGCTAGAGGTCCTTCTAGGATCATTTCAAGCATTCACAAAAACGACTAACTTACCGAATGATTCCAACCAAGAGTAAGGTTAGAACATGAATCACTCTTAGATCGGACGTAGAATCTACGATGGTCACTCCTAGATCCTAAGACGACTCACTCCAGAATTAGCTTGATCGAGACTAATCAAATGAATCGGTTTAACATCAAACCTAAAGCAAGATTTGAAAGAAGCAACACCAAAAGTGTTAAGGAACAAAAGTTCTTGAATTTCAATATGTTTAATCTGCCAAAACAAGGTGATTACAAGCCTTTAAATAGGCCAAAGAGTCGTTCAACATGAGGAACACCAAAAGTCTTTCAAATCCTATTTAATGCAAATTGTAGAAAATAAGACATGCATATTAAAACATGATTGCACATCAAACTAGACAACTAAATGTGAATCCAAAAACGTAGAATTGCTTTAAATTGTCTTAGAAATCACATGTAGGAGGCGCTTTACATTTGGATGAGATTTGACAAGCTTTGACATCACAAACTCCCAAGAGGTGCAATCTGCAAAGGCACCTGTTCACCAATCTGCACACTTTTTTTGTCCTCCGTGCCCTATCTCAAAATAGACAACTTTTCCCGTGCCATCTTTGCTCCATTCTCTTATTGACTCATTAAATTAACATTGTAAATAATTTTGGCCTCAGAAATCTCTGTCTCCTCGTGTGCATTAGCTAGCCTTTGAAGATGTATTATGAAAACCTCTTGAATCTTCTTTGCTTTGCTTCTTGTAATTGGTCCCTCGGGTACATTCATTGGATCCGTGGTTGGATTTGCATCATCCCCCCTTTCTTTAAAAGGATTTGTCCCCAAATCAAGGTCTTCATTTCCTACATCAAAAGGAGTCAAATCAGCCACATTAAAAGTAGAACTTACATTATACTCACCTCGAAGATCCAGTTTGTACGCATTGTCATTGATCCGTTCAAGCACTTGAAAATGACTGTCTCCTCTAGGTTGAAGTTTGGACTTCCTCTGATCTAGAAACTGTTCCTTTCGTAGATGAACCCAAACCCAATCACCTGGGTTAAAAATAACTTTCTTTCTCCCTTGGTTCTTGCGACTTACTAGCTTTCGATTCTTGTTCTCAATCCGTTCCTTGATCTCTTTGTGTAATGTTTTGATGTATTCGGCTTTAGACAAAGCTGCATCACTTGTAAACATATTAGGTGGAAAAAGGTGTTAAATTTAAAGGAGTTAGAGGATTAAAGCCATAAACAACCTCAAATGGTGAGCAATGGGTGGTGCTATGTACAACTCTATTATATGCAAACTCCACAAAAGGTAGAGTCTCTTCCCAAGACTTAAGATTTTTAGAAATGAGTGACCTAAGCAAGGCCCCTAATGTTCTATTAACCACCTCAGTTTGACCATCGGTTTGTGGGTGAGAAGTTGTAGAAAACAAAAGTTTGGTACCCAATTTGCCCCATAAAACTTTCCAAAAATGACTTAAAAACTTAGCATCTCGATCACTAACATTGGTTTTAGGAACGCCATGTAGTCTAACCACTTCCCTAAAGAAAAGATTAGCTATATTAGTAGCATCATCTGTTTTGTTACATGGAATGAAATGTGCCATTTTACTAAACCTATCAACCACCACAAAAATGCTATCATGATGTCTTCTAGTTTTTGGTAACCCCAAAAMRAAATCCATKCTAATGTCAACCCACGGTTCACTAGAAACYTCTAAAGGTGTGTAAAGACCATGTGGTTGAGTCTTAGACTTAGCCTCCTTACATTTGAAACATTGCTTGCACACTTTGTTCACATCTTTCCTCATTTTTAACCAATAAAAGTRTTCACACAACATGTTATATGTTTTAAATTCTCCAAAATGTCCCATAAGTCCTCCCCCATGAGCCTCCTTTACAAGCAACTCCCGAATGGAACACTTAGGAATACAAAGCTTACCTTTCCTAAAAAGCATACCATCAAACACAAGATAATCATGTATATTTTTCCCTTCCAAACATTGCWCATACACATCATAAAATTCCGATTTCTCAACTTTGTACAACTCAATCATATGCTTAAAACCAAGAATTTTTGCACTAAGTGAAGAAAATAGAGCATACCTCCTTGATAATGCATCGGCCACTACATTGTCYTTACCTTTTTTGTAATGAATGACATAAGRAAATGTCTCGATGAACTCCACCCATTTAGCATGCCTCCGATTTAACTTTGTTTGGCTTTTGAGGTGCTTCAAACTTTCATGATCGGTATGGATAACAAACTCTTTCGGCCATAAGTAATGTTGCCAAACTTGTAAAGCCCTCACAAACTCTTTACCGTGATTTTGTTGATGGCTCGACAATCAACACACATCCTCCATGTGTCATCTTTCTTGGGCACCAAAATTACCGGAACCGAGCAAGGACTCATACTTTCTCTAACATAACCTTTCTCCACGAGTTCTTCCACTTGCCTTTGAACTCCTTGGTTTCGGTGGGATTGGTCCTACAGGCAGCCATGTTTGGGAGAGTTGCACCGGGTATAAAGTCAATTTGATGTTCAATCCCTCTAAGAGGAGGTAAACCCGTAGGTGCATCTTCATGTGGAAACATGTCATTAAATTCCTGCAAAAGAGACTTAAATGCACTTGGCAAAACATCATGAGATTTTGGTTCAATTGCTAAACACATACCTTTGCACATAAGCACAAAATGTGGCTCTTGGGTTAACAACACATTTCTCAATTCACTCTTTCTTACAATCAAACTCACATTCTTTCTTTTCAACTCTTCTTTTTTTTCTTCTTGGTTTTTACTCTCATTTTGCCTTTCACTCTTCTCTTTTTTTTTTTCACTAGTCTCACTTTTGCTCTCTTCTCTCCTCTCTTTTTCTTCAAATTCTTTTATTTTCTTCTCTAATTTCAAGTGGTCACAATGTACTTCAAATGGAGACGACGGAAGTAAAGTAAATTTCTTTCCGTTCAAAGTAAAACTATACTTGTTCAATAGCCCATCATATGTGACCTCTCTATCATATTGCCATGGTCGGCCCAACAGTATATCCCCCGCATGCATAGGACAACATCACAAAGGACTTCATCTTTGTATCTTCCCAAGGTAAAAGGAATAAGAGCTTGGGAGTTTACCTTTAGTTCTCCTTTGTTTGTCAACCATTGAAGTTTGTATGGTTTTGGATGTGGATGTGTATCAAGTTGAAGTCTATTAACAAGAAAACTACTTACCACATTTGTGCAACTTCCACTATCAATCACCAAGCTACACGGATTTCCTTCAATTAAGCATCTTGTGTGAAACAAGTTTTCCCTTTGATCTTCAACTTTCTCTTCCTTGATCTGTACACTAAGTACCCTTCTTGTTATCAAGGATATGAAGTTACCTTCTTCAATATACTCTTCATCACGTTCTTCAAATTCTTCATCATGTTCCTCACAATCATCATCCGAGTCAACTACGCCATTTCTTATCACCATAACTCTTTTATTGACACAATCTTTACTCCTGTGTCCAAACCCTTTGCACTTCCAACATTGAATAGAACTAGTCTTTTCCCTTACCTCCTTTGGAGCTTCATTCTTTTTAGTATTGGAACTCTCTCCCTTCATTCTTTTGGCAGCTACGAACTTTACTTTTGGTTGCATTGATTCATTCCTATTCACAAAACCAGCCTTGTTCCAAGCATTAGAATTGGAATATGTATTAGCTTTAGATGTGTACCTTTTTGAATACTCCTTTTCTTCCTTCAATTGATCTTCAATTTTGACAGCATAATGGTACATATCTTCTAGGTAAGGTGGTGGATTTCTATCAACAGCATGAGCAATTTCTCGATTCAAACCTCGAAGGAATCTAGACATGGTGTCTTCCTCTTCTTCTCGGATTTTGGTTTTTAGCATTAAGGTCTCCATCTCTTGATAATACTCAGCAACACTTTTTGTTCCCTGCCGCAAAGCTTGCAGTTTAGTTTTCAAATCTCTTTCATAGTGTTTTGGAACGTACCTCCTTCTCATGGCTTCTTTGAGTTCTTCCCAAGTGTCTAATGGATCCTCCTCCTTCCTTCTTCTTTCTAATTTGAGATTTTGATACCATTCACCGGCATGATTGGTGAATTCAGCAATGGCGAGTCTCATCTTAGTATTCTCACTATATGTATAGCAATCAAACACATGTTTTATCTTCCTTTCCCATTGCAAGTAAGCATCGGGGTCCGCCGTTCCACTAAAGGGTGGAATTTTGAGTTTAACTCCGCCATCCCTATTTTCATTTAATCTCTCCAATCTTCTAGGTTGCATAACGTTGGCAAAGTTATTTCGTCCTCTTCTTCTCCCATTTCTTCTTCCTCCAACTTGTCTTTCTTGTTCAGCAAGGTCAAACGCATCATCGTCTTGTAAGGCTCGTTCTTCTCTTTGTTGTTGCGCTCTCCTTTCTTGTCTATCTTCCATCATCATTTCCCTCATACCTTGAATTGCTTGAAGAATCACCGTATTAGGATCTTGCGGTACTTGTGGTACTCCATCCTGTGCCATTTTGTTAGAAACAATAATAAAGATAATAAGGACCTTACCACTCTTCTCACCAAGATTTCACTCAAGGACACTCGTGTTTATCACTCAAGGGTAGGCTTTTGGTACTAGGTCAAAGATGTAAGGGTTGGCTTAAATTTTGGTGCAATCTTGCTTAAAGCTTGATATAACTAATTCAATGATCAACTCTTACAAACTAAGGCTACAACAACTCAATCTTAGGATAAACAACTTGATAATTTAAACAAAACACAGCATAATGAAAAGAACTTTTCGTGTGCCTCGGATCTTCGAATGCTTTTTTTTTCTACGGTTTTCTTTCTTTTTGCTACTGTTTTTCTTTCTTTTTGCTACTGTTTTTTCTTT